CCGCGCCGATGTGGATATTGTCATTCAGAATCACAGATTATTTTTTTTGGAAGTATGACCAACATAAGAATTTTCACCGGGAAATGTCATCTGAACTAGTAAGAAACATTCACTTTTGTTCTGGTTCTGACGTTGCAGTAAATCGTGCTGATTAAATCTAACAATTGCTTATAAATTATCATTTCACGCAAAACCGTGCAAAGTAGCTATACTATGTTCTCAAATTGTTAATGTTAACAACGTCAGCAAGCATTGCGTGACTACATCATGTAATGTCCTTCCGATATTATCCTTGTTTTTCGCATGGGTCCGGTTGCAGTCTCTTTTTTTCTGTAGCCACTCCGAAGTCCGAACGAAGTCTTTTGCATTTTACAGCGGGTGAGTCTCTAGTTGTCACTGATGATGATCGTCGTTTGAACCTTTCTGGATCCGCCATCAAATTGATAAGTTTAATTATATCAAGTGCTGTGAGAAAAGGCTATAAATCTCTACCTCCAACATCCTCACACGCAATATAGCTTATAGCCTACTAGCCGAGACTCCTTCTTTATGTGTACAGATGTGACGTAATGACGCAAAGACATGCTCGAATCTCCCGCGGAAATCCACCAGTACCACTAAAATTAAAAACATTATTACAAGCTTACCGTTTTGCATCGAGCTAAGGCAAGCAGATAGTTTTGAACACTGGCTGGTTATGTATTTTATCAAATATGTATTTTGGATAATTTTTAACCCAAAAAAAGCTACGGACAGCAGCTTTAAGTTTTACTAATTTGATGCGCTTTTAGTTTTTTGAAATATTGCTATTTAACTTTGATTTATTTCAGTAATTTTAATATTCAACTATCTAAGTTAGTTGTCAAGACAACATTGCAAAAACAAATTATTTACATGTTACAGTTTAAGTCTACGTTTACGTATGCTTTATTTCAATTAAAAACGATTAATCGTTTTAGCTTTATTTAACACTAACAACACTGGTAGCCTGCTTGACCAGTTCACCATAAACACTAATACAATTCTCTGCATTGTTCTCAAAATGAAACAATTAAAGTAATTGCCATATTACTCTTATTTTCGGCTGTGGGTGCGTTTACTCACCACACGAGCCCTACTGTGGAATGTGTCAGCATGATGTAAGAGGTTGGTAACAAAGCTAGCATGAATTGAACTACTGGTCCAACAGGCTGAGTCGCACTACTGCAGCTCTTAGCAGCACTGATGCAAATCTGAGGTGAACACCAGCTGTCAGTTTACAGGCTCCAAGCTTGGGCATTCAAGCAAATCATTTCTTATAAACCACCAATGGAGTAAACCCAATAAGGTTGAGAACTGAGAACCTGTTCTCATACAGAAACGGGTTCAAAGAAAACTGTCACGACATTCGCTTCAGCTAACAGAACGTTGTACTAAAATGCAGTGTTTTATTTACTACTTTCCAGTGGCACTGCAACACTGCTACTGAATCACAATACACACACCGCAAAACAGATTCCCAAATGAATCCCTTTTAAGGACCAGTTCTTTAGTGAGTGTGATTCAGCAAGTCAAATGTTTCACTGAATCACAAGTTATTTGTCATGTGTGACAAAATCCTGATTTGTTGTAGGCCTACTAGTTAGTCCTAACACATATTTTATTCAATATTTAGTTAGGTTCAAGTCAAGTAATGATTTGCCATTTCTAAAAAGTATGGAACATCATTAAAAACATTTGTAAATACACTTTTGATAGAATATTAAATATGAAATCTGAGGGTGGTAAAAGCAGTAAAACCAGGATTTTTTATTTTATTTCCACAAAATTGTTAATGGAACTATTAATGAACTGGAATTACTAGAATATAACTAGAATTAAAAGGTTCACATAAAAATAAAAATTCTGTCATTTACTCACCCTCAATTTGTTTCAAACCTGTATGAGTTTCTTACTTCTGTTGAACACAAAATAAGATATTTTGAAGAATGTTGGTAGCCAGACAGTAGATGGCCCCCATTGACTTCCATAGTATTTTTTTTTTCTTCTACCAAGTCAGTGGCTACCATCAACTGTCCGGTTACCCATATTCTTCAATATATCTTATTTTGTGTTTAGCAGAAGAAAGAAACTCACACAGGTTTGGGACAAATTAAGGGTGAGTAATTGATGACAGAATTTTAATTTTGGGTGAACTATCCCTTTAAGACTGTGGCCTGCGTTTGCAAAAGAGAAAAATTCACAAACAACAACAGGATGTATCATGCGAACAAACGATCAACCAAATATTCAGGACCGAATGGGGAGAAGCAAGCAAACAAGCTATTTCTACGTTAAAAGGATGTGTAACGAGTTAGGACTGAAATGCTAAGGTGCATCTAAACATGACCTAGATGCACCTTAGCATTTAAGTCGCTAGTCTACTCGTCTTTTTAAAACGACCGATACCCGGGTTCTCATTTGGTCTTGAATGGGTGGTTCATCATTTGTTTGACCCAATAAACTGCCCGGCGGCGTGACGTCACACAGCGTAAACCATCGTCACGGTGGCTACGAACTCTGTGTCGACCAAACTAAAAATCTGCTCGAGCACTGGACGACAAAAGCAGCCTCTGCTCCACATATAAGCGCTGGTGAAAATAGCGGAGTTCAGGCAAATCACGAGGTAAATGCTAATTAGCAGCATTCCCAGCCATTGGCGCCCCAACTTTTCATTTCTTTAAACAGACGAGACCTGAAAACCGAACCGTGGTGTGTAGTAGTTCAGCAAAGAGCTGACTCACTAATCTCAGCCCTCGCAGAAACTAAACGCGGTGACTGTCAAATAACAACGCGCTTTTACTTTCCGCGAACAATACATTGTTCGCTTTAGAACTGTTACGTCCAACTCGCTACTATGTAACACAAGCATTCCAACGGAACCCCCATTACCACATTACGATGTAACAGTTCTGCCCGCTAAAGTTAAAATCCTCCTAAATAGTGTTGCACGGATGGATTTGCCTTCCTCGCATAGTCAAACGGAGGCTCGAAGGCTAAAGCTAGCCAGCCAAATAAGAGGGGGGAGCTGGCTAAACTTAATCGCGAAAATGCAAGCAGCGCGGGCGAATCAAGTAAATCAGCGACACAATTGAAATGTTAAAACAATAACAGCCGTGCATCCGCTTCAAGGTCGCTCAAAGCGATTTGTTTACACAACGACAAGAAGCAAAAACACAACTCTCTAACTCTGCAAAGTGGCCAGGCTGATATAGCGAGTGTAGCTGGTTTAGCAAGCTAATGCAGGATACCGCCGCCGCGGAACTGTGATTGGATCCTGCAGCGACTGTGTAAAAATCGCGTTACAAAGCCACCCCAAACCGCCATTTACCGGCAAACATAGAACATTTGCAAACATGTCGGACTTACAGTGTTTTGTTTCCTCTTAAATCCCGTACTTAATGTCCAGATCTGACCTTCGGGTTGGTGAAACAGCATTATAGTTAACTGCCGCCGCCATGTTCCTGCTGCCTTATGCCTAACGATGGCTGGCTGCTTGTTTATCTCGCCAGCAAAACCTCCCCCACATACTACGGGCACCAGTATCTACTCGTTTACTCTAGCCTGCATAGCAACCTTGCAGTGAACAACGGGGCAAAATGATGATACAGCAAACATAATGACGCGGCTCACCAGTTGGTTTGCATTTTTCCTGCCTTTGTATATCCTAAACTGCAAGTAGATGTTTCATAATATTTGAGGAGGAAATCAAAGCAGCGCTGAAAAACAGTTTACAAAAGCTTTCACCTTTGGTGGTAGCCTACTGTGTGTGTGAGAGAGAGAGAGAGAGAGAGAGAGAGAGAGAGAGAGAGAGAGAGAGAGAGAGAGAGAGAGAGAGAGAGAGAGAGAGAGAGAGAGAGAGAGAGAGAGAGAGAGAGAGAAAAGTGTGCCAGAGTGGTCAGGTCACGAGCCGGTGTTGTTGTTGTTAGTCCGAATCCAAAGCAATCTGCACTCTATTAGCAATGTCATAACAGCTTAATTTAAAAAACACATCAGCAGAACCAAATCAAACTGCTTTCCAGACCTCCATGCATCACATCCTACTTGTTATGATTTACTTTAAGGCTTTTAGAATACATTTGATATACATTTTCTTATCAAATAAACACCTTTAACCAAACAAAACAATACACTGCCATATTAAATACAGTGTAGGCTGTGCCTATACAACAGCAAGAGAAAAAGTTCAGGAGTGTTTTGATCGGAGAATAGCACATTTAAATCCAATTTTATTAGTATTTTGGTAACATTTTACACATCCACTAACAATGAGCAAACATTTGTTACAGGATTTATTAGGCCTAATCTTTGTTAATGTTAGTTAATAAAAATACATTGCTGTGCATTAACTATGTCAATACAACTTTTGATTTTAATAATGTATCAGTAAATGTTAAAATTAACTAAGATTAATAAATGCTGTAGTAGTATTGTTCATTGCTATTCATGTTAACTAAAGTAGCTAACTAATGTGAACAAATTAAATCTTATTGTAAAGTGTTTTGCAAGTTTCAAGACTTAACTGTCTTAACAGGTCCAAGTCTTCTCTGTAGCCTACTGAAAATTATCAAAATAGTATGATTGCATTTGCCACATTATCACTGTGTAGAGATTGATATTTTAAATGTCATTATAGCCTAGAAATAAAATATTAAAAGCAATAGGCTATATGTATTTCTCAAGCAGCCCATTGAAATATTTAAGTCAAGACATGTCCTCGATTATGACTATGAATACACAGGCGCTATAGCTATCTTTTAAAGAACATTTTGGCCATCTGTGAAATAAAATGGGAACAAGCCCGAATAAGTTTTTTTTCTTTCTCTGCCATAATGTAAAAGCCTAGTAGTCCACCATGCCTCATAACTGTATTGAGTTGTCAAATTCACACACATTTGTACTTTTCTGCTATAGCCTATATGCGCACCTCAAAAGGCAACAGGCTCATGGACTGGTTGATCTGGCAGAAAGCCAAGGCTTACCGTGATTAGTCAGCAACAATAACCCCGAAATGCGTCAGGTATCCGATCAAAACCCACACGGCGACAGGTTGATTTCCTATAGCCCATAAAAATACTTCCATGTGAATGTACGCCAGCGACCGAGATCAAGCATCGACGAATCAGAATGAATCCTACGTTCCAACCCGTGTCGATCAAAGGTCTACATCGAAAGTAACTTCTCTCAAAGGGAAATCTGCAAACAGTGACTTATGCAATTCTGCTGTTCACTGTTTCAGATTGGCACGCGCTTGCCAACAATTGTGAAACAGCACGGGTTGGTTTGTCGCAACGAAATGTCCCTAAAGAGTTCAGTTTAGGAAAGCATTTATAAATATTTTGTCATTATGGTTTGTTTCATATTATATACATTTGCTTTAAGAATTATATCTCCAACATACGCGCAGAGTGATTTGAAAGAAACATTAAATATCACTGTTGTCTGTTAAGAAAAATCGTGGCGAACAGCGCCACAACATGGTCAACACCAACATTTTAAGGAGAATGACCTCTTAAAATAATATAAAATGCACGTCATTATGCCTTTTTACAGATTTCTTTTGAGAATTGCTTATTGAGTGTGCAAATTATTAAATTACTTTTATATTAATATGAAATTATATATAAAATCTAAAAATAATATATATTTTATGCCAGTTAGGCTCGAGCAACGAACTGTTGCTATGGTTACCCCCTCAGGAGAACGCGACTCCTGTTCTATTTAGCGCTTTCTGACCAACTTGGACTCGTAGGTTTGAGAATGTCTTTGTTTTGAAGGATTTTAAGCCCTGTAATTCGCACCATTGATTTCAATGAACTAATACAAACAAAATCTCATTTTTAAAATGTTTTCACCATAATTTTCTACACTGTAAAAAGTTATCAGTTGACAACTTAAATGTTTGGAAACCCGTTGCCTTAAAATTAAGTAAATAAACTGCATTGTTAAGTTAAGTCAACTGATCACTTTTTACAGTGTACAATGCAATAAAACAAATGCAGAAATAACAAGTCATGTTTTGACAAATGCAGTAAAATAGGGGCAAATAACCGTGAAAACAACATTTTTATTAGTGTATTCACTGGTTGTCTTTCTAATTTGTTGTACTTGGGTAAAAGAAAGGTGAGATAATGATTGTTCCTAACTTCATTCTCAGAGTATTGTTGTTCTTAATCTGAAACTATCTGCTATGAAAAATATGTCTGAGAACTTTTCCTTAAGATTTTGACCACAATTTGTGATTTGACATGTCCATGTGTCATCTACACCGAACATCAAAGTCAGCAGTGCAAAGTTCAAGATTAAAAGGTAGAATCTAAAGCACATTGCAGGAAAATGTTCCTTTGCTAAATAAACAAAATGTGTGGAGCATTACACTATTATCTTGACCAGTGCAACAAATGGAATCCATATTTGTTTAAAAAAAGGCATCAAATGAATGTTTGCGCTTGTGATCTTATTCTGATGAAGAAAAAAAAGAAAAAGAAAAAAAAGTGTGACAATGCTTTTATACAACAACACAATGAAGAGGCATTAGACATGGTTCCAAATGCTTAGGATAGAATCAGAAAAAAGCTGTGAGCCTTCAGAGAACTTTAAATACACCCCTGATTTCAAACTCAAGTTAAAATACTGGATTAACCATCTCTGATCTGTCAAAATGATGTATGGTTAGGCACTTGTAAAAATAAAAATAAGTTACTTTTTTCCCCCACAGCTTTTGGGTTTTATTTGGAGGTATGGCTGGATCATAGTTTTGGATTAAGCAAATAAAGCAGAGAGCGTATGGACCTTTGGAAAAAGGAAACAAATGTAGGCGAAATAAAAAAGACCCCCTCCAAAAAAAACAAAAAAACAATGCCACATTTTTCCCTTAAGCCCTTCTTGCAAAGAGACATACTGGTTTGATGGCTTTGTGAAATACAGCATTCAACATCCTACAGGATCAAAGAGCAGGATAAGGAAGGTGCCATATTGCAGTTTTTTTTTCTTTTCTTTTTTCAGATAAACAAGAGGGGAAACGGGCAACAGACAAACTGTGGAACGGAGAGGAATGATCAGGCTGATTTCAGCCAGTACAGAAGTTGGGAATGTGGGTGGTTTATGATGACTTCTCCTTCCTCGCTCTGGGAGAATCTGCTCCGCTGGCACCAACAGATCCGTTCACACCATTGGCTGTGACAAACACAAATGAGAAGAGGCTTGACATAAGTAATTAGCAGATCATTTTGTAGTTTAGATCCCTATAGTTCTGTTATATACTGAATATCAGTGACTACGTCTCCAAGCGGGAAAATGCCACTTAATGAATTTGCTTAAAGGGACAGTTCACCCAAAAATCTGTCATTTAAGCCAAGTTCAGTCTGCACGATTTTCAAAGTAGTCGGGTCACTGTTCTTTTCACACTGCATGACCATCTGGGGTAACATTCAGTTGCTGCTGTGTTGTGTGTTCACACTGAACGATGGCTCGGCGACAGGAGGTTTCACACCCTGCATGACTTTACAAAAGAAAGTATCACCGACAACTTCTACCTGGTCCGCAAACTACATTTCACAACCAAACACACGCGAGAAGTGATAAGGAAATAACGCAAGATCACACATGCGTGAGACTGGAGTTCTCGCACGAGACTCAAATTGTTATTAAAAATTGTCTGTGCGCTGATTTGCAGTGAAAAGGAGAAAAGAAAAACAGATTATGCAGGAGGAAATGGTTGGGGAGATGAGAGCAAGGATTGTGTGTTCCGCAAAGAGAGTTGGGGGTAAAACAATTTTTTGCAATGTGCTGCTGGTCAAGCAAATGTGTAGGCTACTTTGTAAATATTATCTATTAAAATACTGATATTCTGGTCTAACTCCTCCCCGAACATCCTACTGTCCTGTATCTTGCTCTCTCATTGGCTGCCGGTCATCGCCGATGTAGTTTTCAGTCGAAACACTTTTCACACGGCAGGATTTAGAATCGGCGCTTCTCTCAGATCGCGTCTTTGCTCATTCACACTGCATGATTGTCAATCGCGTGAACGAGCACCGATTTGCCTGTGATTTCGGGCATTTGTCGGCGATTTCTCAAAACCTGTCGGCGAGCCAAATTCGGGGTTAAAATCGTGCAGTCTGAACTCGGCTTTACTCACACTCATGTCTCTCCAAACCAATAACACTTTGGTTATCTATAAAAAACACAAATGAAGATATTTTTTAATGAAACCTGAGAGGTTTCTGTCCCTCCACTGAAAGTCCAGGTAACTATCAAGGTTATAAAGGCATCATAAAATTAATGAATGTAAATCGAGCGGTTTAATTTAAAACATGATCCAACAATGATCGACAAAACATACAAATATACGAAAATGTGTGTGTCAAGAGCTAGAACAAACCTTGTTGGTTCTAATGCATCTTGCACACACGTTTGAGCTTCTGCATTTACCATGTGTGATGTGCTCTATGTATGCGTGTCAATAATCCTTAAGATGTAAATGAAAAACTATTAAATCTGTTCATCATATCAAGAGATCAAATCTCATCACAAGACTTGGCTTAAACCACTCGATTCATATGGATTTGTTTTTACGAGCCTTTATAACCTTTTTGGATCTTAACTTGTGGTTATCTGGACTTTCAATGGAGGAACAGAAATCTCTCAGGCTTTATTCAATCTTATGCACTTGGAACGATATCTGGGTGAGTAAATTATGATAGAATTTTTGGGTGAACTCTCGCTTTAATAAAAGCAATATACTTTAAATACAACCCTACTTTCACAATACAGTGCAACCTCAAGTACTTTACTGATTAAATGTAGAAAGTAGCTTCAAGATTAGAACAAGGGCTCTTCTGATTTTGCCATTTTGTGTATATTGCAGTATGTAAATATATCTGTGTAGCTTTCAACCTTTTTGACTTCAAGGCCCTCAGAGTTCACAACAATATTTGAAGGCCGTACCTCACTCACTCAAATTTCTACCCGATAAAATATTTTAGAGCTTGGCATAACTAGAAAGATATGTAGTCATTATAAAAATCAAATTCTTTAAATATACTTCTTATTATTTGGTTTCGTTGCGGAAGCTCATTTGTTCTTGCGGAAGCTCAAATGTGCTGTGTAACAAGAAAATAACAAGAAAATATGCCAGCAGCCATATCACCCTGTAGCCCAAGACTGGTTGCCCACTGAAGCTAAGCAGGGCTGAGCCTGGTTAGTACCTGGATGGGAGACCTCCTGAGAAAACCAGGTTGCTACTGGAAGAGGTGTTAGTGAGGCCAGCAGGGGGCGCTCACCCTGTGGTCTGTGTGGGTCCTAACGCCCCAGTATAGTGACGGGGACACTATACTGTCAAAGAGCACCGTCCTTCGGATGAGACGTTAAACCGAAGCCCTGACTCTCTGTGGTCATTAAAAATCCCATGGCACTTCTCGTAAAAGTAGGGGTGTAACCCCGGTGTCCTGGCCACATTCCACCCATTGGCCCCTGCCAATCATGGCCTCCTAATAATCCCCATCCACTGAATTGGCTCCATCACTCTCTCTCCTCTCCAACTATAGCTGGTGTGTGGTGAGCGCACTGGCGCCGTTGTACTGTGGCTTCCATCGCATCATCCAAGTGGATGCTGCACACTGGTGCTGGTTGAGGAGAGACCCCCTGATATGATTGTAAAGCGCTTTGGGTGTACAGTAGTACATATGAAAGCGCTATATAAATGCCTCATTCATTCATTCATTCAAAATGAGCCACATTGGTTCATGAGGAAGCTCAAATGTTCTGCGTAACAAGAATCAACCTCATTGGTTCTTGCGGAAGCTCAAACGTGCTGCGTAACAAGAATGAACCTCATTGGTTCTCGCACGTCAAGCGAACATGCTTTAGCTTCCTTTTACCACAACTGATGTGTGAGTTGATGAATGTTTAGGTGAATAAAAGCCTAAATTCAATCTGTTCATCATATAAAGCGATCGTTTCTCCAGACATTTTGGACTAAACCACTCAATTCATATGGATTAGTTTTACGATCTCTTTATGAACTTTTTGAAGCCTCAAAGTTTCAGTTGAGTAGTTGTCTATGGAGACAACTAGGTCTATGTCTCTGAATTCATCAAAAAAAAAATCTTCATTTGGATTCCAAAGATGAATGAAGTCTTACAGGTTTGGAACGACATGAGGGTGATTAATGAATGCAATTTAATAATAATAATTAATTTAATTAATGTGTGAACTATCCCTTTAAGAACTCAACACAATACTCACGCTGGTGGACACACCTGAGGTGCACACAGAAAGACGCCTTTTGCAATGCCAAATTCAGTAATCTTTCAAAGCTTATTGCACTTGAACCATGTCAAAAATGCCACGTTGGCGAGTATTTATGTAAAGTCTTAAGTGAAAAAACAGTTGGGAGAAAAAACAGATGCATGTCAGTTGGATATTAGTAAAATAAAGTGACTGCAGCCATAAAAATAACTTAGATCATTGGTCATATCGCCCAACCCCAATAGGCTATGTGCACAAGCGTAGTTTCGAACTTCCGCTATTATCAGAAGTCGGCATGTCAGTTTCCGGTTTACGGCTGTTCATCCGCATCCGCTATAAACGAACAAGATGAGTGCTGCTGTTGTAAGAAATAAAGAGTTGTTAAACACATCTAAGTTTCTAAGACCTGTAGGTGGATCTATCATCTAACGCCCGTTTCACACATACCCCGTTTGCAGTGCAGGAGCAATGCGCGCTATAGTGCTTTCACATATGATGCGTTTGCAGTGAATAACTGATCCGCGGCTGTACCACAAACACATACTTACTTTTTTTTTTTTTTTTCGCATCGCCCAAAATATCTATTTTGTGCAGCCACTGCGCACGAAGGTTGGTGTTTTCCGGGAAGCGGTGGAAGCTCAAATGGCTGTTAGCGACTTGAAGCAGAGCAAAGTGGCACACAGCAGTGCTCCTAACGCACCATGTTAACAGGTTAGGGCTTTCACTTTTCACACCGTTCCAGATGCGGCACGTATAACAGCAGTACAGCGATCGTTACTGCACCGAATCTATTTCTGCTGTGCTGCATTAAAGTGACACAGCATGTTTCGTGGTCAAAATGCACAAAGATTGACCTGAAAATGTAGTAATTTCACCATAAATGCGTTTCATTAAATAAAATGTAGTAATCTCACCATAAATGCATTTAATATACCGGTACTACTATTTTTCACAGTCATCTGAAGACTGTGAAGACCGGGGTAAATCAAGGAAAACTACAATTAAGGCGACATAATGAAGCTGTAGCTTTATTATGGTAGCTTTACCCGTCGAAGTTTATTGTTTTAATCGATCTGCCATACGTTTTTGTTTGTTTGCATCTTTTATCCACACTAGTTCACTTTCTGTTAATTTATGTAAGTGTAGACAAAGCTTTCATGCAGGATCTGGGTGCTTGCTGTGAGAAAAATCAATCGATAAACGCATATGGCAAAGGAAGTGCATTCAAACTCGCTTCAGCGCGTATTTATGTGAGAGGCGCGTGCACGCGAAGGGGCGTGTGATTTGTCCGCGAGTCGGAATTCGGTACAACACCTGTTTTAATACCAAAAAGACTCGTGTGTTTTTTTTACACTATGCTGAACGGTCGGTTAAGTAAGCGAGTGCCATTGACGGAAGCAGTGACCGGAAGTGATCCAGCTCACCGCAGACAAACCGGAAATTCTATTTCCGTTGTTATGCAACTAGCGAATGCCCCTCCCCCACTATCAACGGATACCCTCCCACCCAGTTCATGCTCGTCAGTGCGTGTGCACCAGATTTTCAGTGAACGCCAGGACTCTCAAGTGTCACGCATTGAGCGTGACAGTCATTCATTTCGGTCTTTTGTCACGCTCTCCCGCCACACATTGTATTTCTCACGCTGAAAAACTATTTGAAATATATTTAATATGCCGCAGCGCCCAAAACTCTGGCCGCGCCGCTCTCACTGTGGAACCGGCATGAATCAAGCGCGTTTCCTCTGGTGTTGTTCGTCGAGCTACACAATAGCCAATCAGAAAATAGCACTATTGTATCTGGGTAAGATTTAACGCAACAACCAATGACAAAAATGTATCCAACCCCCCGTCGGCTGGGTGTCACTCTTACCTGTCTTCAAAACTTGAGAGCCCTGGAACGCGCCCGTCTCATCAGCATCCATCAACACCATGGAGTATTTGGAGGTATGCTGTCCTGGCTAATCTACCGATAGATTGCAATTGCTAACGTCATTTATACTCTAAATGAGCGTACTTGATTTTCCGCCATCACTCTTTGTTACTGCGGGAACTTCCGTGAACTTCAGGCGTGTGCATGTGATTGTAACGTGCGCGAGGGGTGGCGTGTGCCCGATCTGTGATTGACAGTCAGATCTCACACCCCCCTGCGCTGATTGGACATGATGAACCGGGAACTGTGGATTTTTGCAAAACAAATAACATGCTCCAGGTGGAGTTAGAAGCTCAGGTTTTTTTCTAAAACCACTTTATTTATGTTGTTCTGTCAGATTATAGTGTCGATTTCACTGAATATGATCCAAAAAAATTGTTGCCGACGGCAGCTTTAAATTGTGTTTAAACGTGCATACATCCATTAAAGAGTGTGTACAAAGAGAATCGCAATGCTGACAACGTTTTTTGAAATAAAAGTTGCAGCACAACTTCTGGATTTTAGGGTGTATTCACACCAGGAAAGTCCGATAGTTCACTTGCTTTGGTCCGGACCAAAACATTTATTTTTTTTTTTTTTTTTTTGGTACGGTTCGCTTTCACACTGCTCTTTTTGCAAGTGAACCAAAATTTGTCAACAAAACCACACGTGTGCTAAGGTCGTCCATTCATTGGACAAGGATTCTCAAGTAGGGAAATCAGGAAGTGCAAAAAAGGTTCAGCATGGAGATATTTCGTACTGCAATATTTGTTATTTTACTAATTTTGTGTTATTCTGTACAAACGCAATATGAAGAAACTGCGCAGAAGACGGATAAGGTATAAAGTTTTGTTTCATAGAGAGGGGCTAATAGGGCTATGTTCACACATTCAAATAATGAGATTCTTATTGTATATAGGCTACTGCTAACAAGTGCTGTCAATGTTAACGCTTGCGATTTAAGTTTGTCCAGTTTAATGCAGCGTCATCCTTGTATTGTAACTATCGTTATGAACTGCAAAAGCTTTTTTTGCATCTATGCGCGATTAGACTGAAGAGAACGCGCTGTATGTGAATGTCCTGATGCACACACTCATTCATTCCATTCCAATGACGCACAGAAAGACGCGCAACAGTATCGTGTGGCCAGACAGCGCGCCGGAATGGAATTCTCTTTCGCACTTGAACAACAATAACACAAACCATTATGCCAAAATCTCCAACTACGGAAGCCTTTTAACTCAAAGGCGCAGTGCTTTCTTGCAATTGGGTCGGTTCATGTTCACACCGTAAACGAACCGTACCAGAGTTCGTTTGGAACCGTACCGAGACCACCTCTTCAGCTGGGTCTCGGTTCGGTTGTTTGGTCCGCACCCGAGTTCGATTGCTGTATTCACACCTGCCCAAAAGGTCCACACCAAGGGGGGAAACGAACTAGAGTTCGATTCAATCGAACCAAACAAGGCAGGTGTGAATACACCCCTAAATAAAAAAAGTAAGTATGTGTTTGTGGTACAGCCGCGGATCAGTTATTCACTGCAAACGCATCATATGTGAAAGCACTATAGCGCGCGTTGCTCCTGCACCGCAACACGCACTGCAAACGGGGTATGTGTGAAACGGGCGTTAGATGATAGATCCACCTACAGGTCTTAGAAACTTAGATGTGTTTAACAACTCTTTTTTTCGTACAACAGCAGCACTCATCTTGTTCGTTTATAGCGGATGCGGATGAACAGCCGTAAACCGGAAACTGACATGCCGACTTCTGACAATAGCGGAAGTTCGAAATTACGCTTGTGCACATAGCCTATTGGAACAGTACAATCAGATCTTAAGTGGGCAATACTGACCTTTCTTTGATTTGCTTTTAGAAGACGACAGTTTCTTTTTTAAGGTCTGAGTCTGTGCATGCTCTCTCCATCGTCGCAGCTGGAAGTTGATAAATTTCCACATCATAAAAGCCTGAGTGGTGCATATTGCAGCCAGGACAGCCACCCTGAGAGAAACAGAGCCATTACAAATCCAACAATAATACAAGCAAAAGGTCATCATTACTTCTTCCATCATCTGGTGTTTAACTAAATCACGTCCATCCAAAACGTCCACTTCCAGTAGAAAAGCTTTTACAATGCGATTACATATTCATGTTATGATGGAAATTTTTATATATGATGCCAAGTTTTGTTTTCTGCCCAAATGACTGTGTTGACATCTCTCACTCTACAAATCAGATTTAAAGGGATAGTTCACCTAAAAATTAAAATTAGCCCATGATTTACTCAACCTGAAGCCATCCTTGGTGTATGACATTCTTCTTTCAGACTAATACAAATTGCAGTTATATTAAAAAAATGTCCTGGCTCTTCCAAGCTTAATAATGGGAGTCAATGGGTATTAAGTCCATCAAAATGCATCCATTCATGATAAAAGTGCTCGACACGGCTCTGGCGGGTTAATAAACGCCTTCTGAAGTGTAGCGATGCGTTCGTGTAAGAAAAATATCCATATTTAAATTTATCAACTAAAATAACTAGCTTCTGGCAGACGGCCCTACGCAAGTTGACTTACGGCCAAAAGACTAACCCTTGATGATGTATGACGTAGGATGTAGGAGTAGCGCAAGCTTTGACGCCTCTCGCGGTTCAAACAAACTGGGCTGGGCAACCGCGTTCGTCATTACGTTGTGCGCAAAGTTCAAGGGTTAGTCTTTCGCCGTAAATCGATGTGTACGGCCGTCTGCCGGAAGCTAGTTATTTTAGTCGATAAAGTTTTAAGTATGGATATTTTTCTTACACGAACGCATCGCTTCACTTCAGAAGGCGTTTATTAACCCACCGGAGCCAAGCACTTTTATCATGGATGGATGCGCTTTGATGGACTTCCAAAAAATATACCCATTGGCTCCCATTATATAGCTTGGAAGAGCCAGGCTATTTTTTATATAACTCCAATTGTATTCGTCTGAAAGAAGAATGTCATATCGACCTTATGCACCAGAGAAACGAGGGCGCCGCCATCTTTAGAATATTGTCTTTGAACTTCCGTTTTTGCGGTCGCTCTGTATATTTCTATGGCATCGCTGTCCAGGAGTAATTAGCTGGTAAAGTTGATTTACTTATCGTAGAGTTAACGAAAGTTATCATGAGCATTGTAATGTTTATGATAAGCATTGTAAAGCATATGTCTTAACAAATGGACCTTGGGAATTTTTTAAACGAGCCGTTCATTCATAACTACGCAAGATCGCTGTGAAAATACAGACCGGAAGTCAAAAGACAATGAGCTCAGCGCGGAAAAGGGGCGTGGCTACATAAGGTCTATACACCTAGGATGACTTCAGGGTGAGTAAATCATGGGTTAATTTTCATTTTTGGGTGAACTATCCCTTTTAAAAAAAAAAGTGTTGCACATACAACATAACCTGTACAGTACAAACCATTTGAATTCATAGAATCTTCTACTTCAAAGCTCTACAGAAATTCAACCATGTCAAATGTAAGGCACTTGGCTTATAATAAGGTGCTAAAAATTGCATCTTGGAAAACAAAATCAAAACAGCAGTTGCTAAATAGCAATCCAAAATGCTTCAAAACATTTGCATGATTAATCTATTCATTTCACTGCAGTGAGGAAGTGTAAAGCCCAAAGTATACTTCAGCCGTCCTCGTGACACAAGATGAAGATCTCTCTGCTTACCGAACAAACAGGACATTAAAGCTTCCCTCAGCGATGTTCAGACCCTGTTTCTCTGCTCCGGCCAGCCCAAAGCCCACAGTAAGAACAGACAGGGAAAGAGTCAACAAGCGGCCCAGCACAAATAGAACAGCCCACACTGAAAACCTGTTAACATACACAAAAGGCTTCATAATGGTCAAACATCCTTGCAAACGCAGAATTGTGCTAATATTCATTTGTAATTTCATATCTGCACAGTAAAAATCAATCAAAGTGTTTATTAGCTGGACTTGCTGTGTCAAATGAATGGCACTCACCCGGTCTGCCTTTCCTCATTGCTGAAGTAAATGAGTCGGGAAACATGGAAGAGGACCTCAACAAAGTAATGCAGAACCAGCAACACCAGGCCCAACCGGTTCAGACTGGAAATACATCATTAATGGTTTAAACATGAGTGAAACTACTACATTATTAGTCTTTGAAAAGTGTAATTATCGTCACTATGCATGGTTTTGTAATTATTTCATCTGTTAATGACAGTCATGTCAACTTTACACCATGTCCTAAACCAGGGGCAATAAGAGCCACTCAAAAATATTTGATGTTTAAAGGGATAGTTTACTTTGGAATTAATTTTTGGTATGTTTTAGCTTACCTCAAGGGCATCCAAGATGTAGGTGTCTTTGTTTCCGCAGTAGTTTCAATTTTGATATTTTTAGGTCAAACCGTTCTTGCCTGTCAGTCATATAATGCAGGTCTATGGTAACTTCCTCAAAGAGCATGCACAGAGAAGTCCAAATTAAACATGATTTAATGACTCATAAATGTAAGTACACACTGATGGCCTAAGACACGAAACGAGCAGTTTGTGTGAGAAAACGAACAGTATTTATATCGTTTTTACCTCTTGTAAACACAGCCACGTCCAAGTGATCTGATGGCGCCGGCGCTTCGGTCTTTTCCGGCAAGCGCTGGAAGTGATCTCTCGCGCGTGTACGTCACTCATACAATTGTTTTATTTTTTATTTTTTTAATTGTTTTCTTTTATGACGGTTTAAACATCCTGGATAAGCGAAAATTAGTACCATTTTAATTAGCCGTCTTACCTACAATCTCTGTTCTGTGTAAACAATGAGTGACGTACACGCGCGAGAGATCACTTCCGGCGCTTGCCGGAAAAGACCGAAGCGCCCGCGCCCTCAGATCACTTGGACGTGGCTGTGTTTACAAGAGGTAAAAACGATATAAATACTGTTCGTTTTCTCACACAAACCGCTCGTTTCGTGTCTTAGGCCATCAATGTGTACATACATTTACGAGTCATTAAATCATGTTTAATTTGGACTTCTCTGTGCATGCTCTTTGAGGAAGTTACCATAGACCTGCATTATATGACTGACAGACAAGAACGGTTTGACCTAAAAATATCAAAATTGAAAATACTGCGGAAACAAAGACACCTACATCTTGGATGCCCTTGAGGAAAGCTAAAACATACCAAAAATGTATTTCAAAGTGAACTATCCCTTTAACAGAAGTCTCTTAAGTTCATCGGGGCTGTATTTATTTTAGCAAGAACACAGAACCTAATATTGTAAAATGTTATTACAATTTAAAATAACTGCTTTTGATTTTAAAATGATATTTATTTTGATATTTTTTAAATGGTAATTTATTCTTTGTGATGTAAAGCTACATTTTCAGCAACCATTACTCCAGTCCTCAATGAAAATGTTTACACCGTGAACACGTGCAATTTATGTTGTAGAACAAAATGTGCCCTGACAACTGTTTATGATTAATAAACATGACAAATGAATTGCTTACTTCAGAATGTAGGCTCCTGCAATTTGGACCAAGTAAAGACTTATATAAACAAGCTGGCGAGGAATGTCTTCCTGAAAAATAAAACAAGACAACATTGTCATGTCTTCTGTCAATTTCCGTAAAGTAAAAGTTTGGTAAACAAAGGAACCTCTGGAGAAGGAAACTGGTCCCGTCACAATAACAGGATGCATGAATAAGGTTTCAGTGCATGTTGTGCATCCTCAACACTGGAAACACTACGTTGACTTTGCTTGCTTACTTTCTTGGCCTTCTGGAAGTAGAGCTCGGGGATTGCATGAAGCCAGTAGCCGAGCTGACAGATGTAGTAGAACTTCAGCTGGAACCTAAAACAAGACAAGGAAGTTCTTCAGCATCTCCACGACTCGTGGAAATCAAATGTCAATGGTAATTGCATTTGCAAGCTGTGTGTTTCATACAGTAGGTCTACAAAAATCAGAAGAGAGAATTAGAGGTAGACTAATGCAAGATAATTTGATCAGGAGCGTTGAGATAGCTTTTGAACTGTCTTCTCGGTGCGAACCAGCTCAGCAGATCAGTTTACCAAAGAAGATGTAACTTATGAGCGCTCATGCAGCGGATCGGCAGATGTGACGCGAGGTGGAATATGAACCTCCATCATTTTATGGCCCATTTCAAAAACAACCATCACTTTCCCACCATTAATTAGCATTTTCCATTTCTTCAGATTTAAACACGCTAAGCTTTTAAAGGGATAGTTCACCCAAAAATGTAAATTCAGTCATTAATTACTTGCAGTGAGGAAAATAAGTATTTGAACACCCTGCTATTTTGCAAGTTCTCCCACTTAGAAATCATGGAGGGGTCTGAAATTGTCATCATAGGTGCATGTCCACTGTGAGAGACATAATCTAAAAAAAAAAATCCAGAAATCACAATGTGTGATTTTTTAACTATTTATTTTTATGATACAGCTGCAAATAAGTATTTGAACACCTGAGAAAATAAATGTTAATATTTGGTACAGTAGCCTTTGTTTGCAATTACAGAGGTCAAACGTTTCCTGTAGTTTTTCACCAGGTTTGCACACACTGCAGGAGGGATTTTGGCCCACTCCTCCACACAGATCTTCTCTAGATCAGTCAAGTTTCTGGGCTGTCGCTGAGAAACACGGAGTTTGAGCTCCAAAGATTCTCTATTGGGTTTAGGTCTGGAGAATGGCTAGGCCACGCCAGAACCTTGATATGCTTCTTACAGAGCCACTCCTTGGTTATCCTGGCTGTGTGCTTCGGGTCATTGTCATGTTGGAAGACCCAGCCTCGACCCATCTTCAATGCTCTAACTGAGGGAAGGAGGTTGTTCCCCAAAATCTCGCAATACATGGCCCCGGTCGTCCTCTCCTTAATACAGTGCAGTCACCCTGTCCCATGTGCAGAAAAACACCACCAAAGCATGATGCTACCACCCCCATGCTTCACAGTAGGGATGGTGTTCTTGGGATGGTACTCATCATTCTTCTTCCTCCAAACACGGCGAGTGGATTTATGACCAAAAAGTTCTATTTTGGTCTCATCTGACCACATGACTTTCTCCCATGACTCCTCTGGATCATCCAAATGGTCATTGGCAAACTTAAGTCGGGACTTGACATGTGCTGGTTTAAGCAGGGGGACCTTCCGTGCCATGCATGATTTCAAACCATGACGTCTTAGTGTATTTCCAACAGTAACCTTGGAAACGGTGGTCCCAGCTCTTTTCAGGTCATTGACCAGCTCCTCCCGTGTAGTTCTGGGCTGATTTCTCACCTTTCTTAGGATCATTGAGACCCCACGAGGTGAGATCTTGCATGGAGCCCCAGTCCGAGGGAGATTGACAGTCACGTTTAGCTTCTTCCATTTTTTAATGATTGCTCCAACAGTGGACCTTTTTTCACCAAGCTGCTTGGCAATTTCCCCGTAGCCCTTTCCAGCCTTGTGGAGGTGTACAATTTTGTCTCTAGTGCCTTTGGACAGCTCTTTGGTCTTGGCCATGTTAGTAGTTGGATTCTTACTGATTGTATGGGGTGGACAGGTGTCTTTATGCAGCTAACGACCTCAAACAGGCGTATCTAATTTAGGATAATAAATGGAGTGGAGGTGGACATTTTAAAGGCAGACTAACAGGTCTTTGAGGGTCAGAATACTACCTGATAGACAGGTGTTCAAATACTTATTTGCAGCTGTATCATACAAATAAATAGTTAAAAAATCATATATTGTGATTTCTGGATTTTTATTTTTAGATTATGTCTCTCACAGTGGACATGTGGGAGAACTTGCAAAATAGCAGGGTGTTCAAATACTTATTTTCCTCACTGCATGTCGATCCAAACCAATAAGAGTTTCATTAATTTTCAAAACACAAATGAAAAAAGATTTGTAATGAAATCTGAAAAATGTCTGTCCCTCCATTGAAAGGCTATTCCGCAAAACTCTGACCGTTCAAAACGTTCATAAAATGATATGAATCGAGCGGTTTAATCCAAGTCTTCTGAAGAGATCGCTCAACCGTACTTGCTTGACCCATGAGAACAAACCTCATTGGTTCTTGCGGAAGCTCAAATGTGCTGCGTAACACACGAGAATGAACCTCATTGGTTCCTGTGCGTCAAGAAAACACGCTTGAGCTTCCAATTACCAAAATTGAGTTATTTATGTACATTCGCTGATCAATATTCATATGTGAATAAAATCTTAAATTAAATCTGTTCACCATATAAACCGATCGTGTCTCTTCAGAAGACTTGCATTAAACCGCTTGATTCATATGGATTTATTTTACAATCGGTTTATGAAAGTTTTGAAGAGTCATTTTGGGTGAATAGACTTTCAATGGAGGGACCAAAAATCCTCAGATTTCATTAAAAAATATCTTAATTTGCGTTCTGAAGTTATGGGTTTGGAACAACATAAGGGTGAGTATGGCAGAATTTTCATTGATGGGTGACTAACCTTTAAAATAGTCTGCACTTCACAGAAGCACAGACAGCAGTACTTACGGCATTAGAGTGTGCGGGTAGCCGTCCCACAGGCTGACGGGGTTGGACAGGAGGTTCTCCTTCAGATTAAGCAGAATAAGTGAATAAATGAATCCTTCAGACACGGCTATAAACACCAACCTGCACATAAGCTCCTATTTATATGAAACAGAGTAGTGAAGCTCTTACAGAGACAAGAATGCTGGCTCCCCACAGGCAGGAGAAGAGGTAGAATGCACTCAGCTGCCCTGACTCATTGAACTTGCTGTGCTTGGTTTTGGAGAAGTGCATCTTCCTGTTGATTTTCTGAACAGTCATGGATTCACGTAAATGGCATAAATCAAACCATTTATTAGTATTAACAGTGTTGCACCAAAACACTATTAAGATACACATTAACATTTATGCACAAATGCTATTAACATTTCAGCTACAGTAAGCTTATTCATTCACATCGGGATACTTACGTCCAGCACATATTCTTGAATAATGGCGTGCATGATAATGGCCACTAACATGTAGAAGAAGACGGTGGCCACATCTTTCAGACCATAATGGAAGTAATTCACTGGTGTTTCCTCTGGGCCCCCTACAATCCACATTACAAACAAAACATAAGCATGCATGCACACTCAGCCACTCAGCTTCTTGATTTAATCAAATATAGACAACTGATATCTGATTTGTTTGTTTAATCTCAAAAAGAAAGATAATGAACAGAGCCAATGCAGTTGATTTTACAATTTATTGTTCGATCCTTTGGAACTGAGTAATAATCTTGCAAAATATAAGGAGAGAATCATGATGAAGCAAACGTATGTTGTTATAAATGTTTTTTAAATTATTGAGCTAACTTATGAACAGCCACAGCAAGTGTAAGTGGCATCAAACATCAGCTCATTACTAGACAAAAACTTGTTGGAACAAACCATTCTGTTTAACCTTGAGGTGTTTTAATTATTATAACAGAAATAGCACACATAATAACAAACAATTTTGACAGAAAATAATAAATAAATAGACAAAAAATGATTTATACTCAAGCTATGCAAACAGACCAAAATAAACTGGAGGTTATTTACCACATACTTACCATTTGCTGGAATTGTAACATTGTATTGCACAGTTATGAACAAAACCGCTACCTTTGATGTAATCTACATGGAAAGAAACATAAAAGGGCAGTGAATACACAAATGAATAAAGGAATATTTCACTCTAAAATGAGACACCTGTCATTATAGAATGGCAGTCAGTCAGTCTCTTTCACTATTCATTTTTACTGTATGGAAAATAAGGTTTACAACGCAAGTGACTAGTGTTACAGAAAATAGGCCATACAGATTTTAAAAGGATAGTTCACCCAAAAATGAACATTCAAAAATTAAATTACTCACCCTCAAGTTGTTCCAAACCAGTATGAATTTTATTTCTCCTTCTGCTGAACACAAAGGAAGGTATTTTGAAGATTGTTGGTAACCAGACAGTTGACGGTAATGTTAGTTGTTGAAAGTCAATGGCTGTCTGGCTAACAACATTCTTCAAAATAACTTATTTTGTGTTCAGCAGAAGGAGAAATAAAATCTTACAGGTTTGGAACAACTTGAGGCCGAGTAAAAATGTAAAACTATCCCTTTAACCAACGTGACGGGTAAGTCAGTCACAGAAATATAATTTTTGGGCAACCTCTTGTTCCTTTCAGTTAATGATACGGTTGTAAGCCACATACAGCAATTATAATCAGTTTTTCATACAATACACACAATCTTAAAGATATCGTTTACACATAAGACACATCTGTTTAGAAATTCCCATTAAGAGCACCAAATCCGTTTCAGCACTGTAAACTCTATTTCCCATGATGCACCAGTACTGGCGCTGATATTCAGAAAACGTCCAAATCTAACGGTTTTGCAAACTCGCATTCCTAAGTAACGAGGGCTGAGAGTGTAAAATCACTATGTTGCTATCAGTAAAAGTATTTTGTTAGCAAAAATCGTGGCCCTCCAGCTGCTGTGCACCGATGACAGCGCTCAGTCATTCTCCGATTGCCACGTAACACTTCATTTGCGCGTAAAAGTATCAGTGCAGCTACAATGTTACGTAATCATTTTTACAAATCAAGTCTCAAATATTCCGGCCAACACTTCTTTAAATGTAACACATTTGCGCGTGCTTTTCATCTCGCGGGTTTTAAAGTTCCTTAAATCGCTTCATAGGCGATTCATATCTCTCTCCCTCCCTCTCTCTCTCTCTCTCTCTCGCTCGTGCATCATGTTTCTTTGAATCAAAATTCCCAACTATTTCAATGGAATAATGCAGTAGCACCTGAGCGTGATAATAGGCTAAACCCTGCGGTATAAGATTCATTTATATGAATCAGAAATGCAAAAGAACGTAAACATTCTGCACATTTAAGGTAAACCCAAAAAGTAACGTTAACCGTTTCATCTGCAGTTAAAGGAAGTGAAAGGATCTGTTCAGACTATGACAGAACAAGAAAGATCCGCTATAGGTTTCTTATAGAAACACTGATCAGGTTGATTTGTCATCTTTGTCAATGTTAAATCTGTAACATTGAATGAATGAAATAAAAGTGGATTCTCACCTCAAACATTAGACCCAGCAGAAACACCATAGCAACACAAGACACAATATCCGCATGGTTCTGGATCACAAACTCGTGGCTGAGCACCGGTGGGTTCTTGTTGTTCTTTTTTCGGATTCCCATCTTGGTGGATGTTGAGAGAACTTTTGGTGTATGTGTGTGAGTGCGGAACACGTCTTCACTATTGTTATCTGGCAGGCACGTCAGTCTTAACGCCTACTTCTGTCTTTCTTCTTCTATCCTTTTTCAATTTTAGCCACTTTATACAATGAAAGACGTTGCAGTAGCGCCATCTGCTGGACTGGAGGACATGAAAAGTTTGATTCATTCTCAGGCCAAGGGCCTATAGTGGTTAGAGAGGAGCAGGGAGCCCTTTCTATAGTGAATACAAAGAATACAAATAAATAGAGGTATTATTAGGTTTATTATGGCTATAATAAACGTCCTTTTTGTTAATAAACAAAAGTATATGGAAGTATTAGCATTACATTTCAGAAAAACTAGTTGAGGCTGATGTGTCCGTCATTTCTAATACAACGGCTGAGGGATTGGCGGCAAATTTGAAATCTTTCTCTCTGACCACCGTAATCAAGCTCTTGATATGGTTCATATTGTTTACTCTTTTGAAAAGTCATAAAAATGCTATTATGGATATTTTCCTTATATGTTGTAATTTCCATTCACCACTATACTATAGAAGTTTCCTCAACTATGATGACTTCTGCCTCAAGAACCCTCGAAATGTGAAAAGGGTCCAATATAATATTCATATAATATATTCCTGTATTTAAATATCTTTTCTTAGTTGTGGATGGTATTGTGCTCCATATTCCTAAAAAATAAAATAAAATCAGTAGCTTCGATATGTACATGAAAACTTGCTTTTAATAAGGGGATGAAATAACTTCTAGGCCTTTGCAACATGAATTACAGTTATTGGAAGTCTGTTGGTTACTGTAGAACGTGTAAAGCAGCATACCAAAGCATTTCCTGCGTTTCATTTTTGACAATGGCCAAACCCACATGAGCACAGCACTTTGACAAGATGTGGTTAGATGGTAGTTAATTGCTAGTTTCAGATCAGAATCTAAGCATGACCCGAATGCACAGTTATTTCCTGGTTGAGAAGAATAGAAAGGCTGAGACTGAGAGTATAATTGTGGGAATGGCAGGCATTTCTTCTTTTGGTTCTGTATTCAAAGTGTCAGGGAATGAATAATTGCTGTGATAACTTATTGGTCCACCAGCAGTGTATATCTAAAGACGTATTTGGTGTGTATTACATCACACAGTAACTGTATGATTAGCTCAGATGGGTGTGGTTTACACACACCGTCATCTGAATTATGAGAAATGACACAGTATCAAGAAAGCAGAGACTCGTCGTCACTGCAACGGAGCACGTAGAAGAATGGAAACTCGGGTAAGTTTTGAATGGGACTTACAATTTGAACTGAAAGCTACTGAGAGGAAATGTGCTGATTTAATATTTCACTCGGGAACATCGCAAAGTGACAGTTTATGGCTTGACATGGTTAACTGCTGTATAAGAAGGATTAGCAAATACATTTTGTCCCGGTGTTTACGTCAAATGTTGTTTCACAACACAACATGTTAACAGTAAGTAGCCTACTTGATTTATGTACTTTCAGGATGTTTTCTTAAAAATAGTAAATGTCAACATTTAATATGTATTTATTAGCTAAATTCTACCATGTGACGGGCAAGACAAGCCTATTTTTTATAGCATTTCATAGACAATGAAAACGCTTTGAAAATGAAAGTGCTTTGCATGATAAAGAAAAGGAAACACACAAACATAAAAGTCCAATGGTAACACTTTACAATAAGGTTTAATTTTTAACATTAGGTAACTACATTAGTTAAAAGGATAGTTCACCAAAAATGAAAATACTGTCATCATTTACTCGCCCTCAAGTTGTTCCAAACCTGTATGAGTTTCTTTCTTTTGTTGAACACAAAAGAATGTTGGTAACCATGACAGACGGTAGCTATTGACTCCGGAAATCAATGGTTATGCTCATAGTAAGTTCATGTTAACTAATGCATTGAACTAATGTTGATGAATTAAACCTTATGTAAAGTGTTACCAATCCATTTTGAAATAGTTTGAGAACATAAAAATGACATTTCAGGACCTCAATGAAAAGGTACTTTTGATCACATGATGTAACTCAGAATATTATTAAAAGTGTTTTTTGAAACCAAATGTGCTAGTTCTGATAGTGTGCTGCACATTTTGAACACATTACATAATGTTAGCATTCATTATTCATCGTGTATAGTGGCTTGTACTGGACAAAGTCCAAAACATAAATAGATAGTAGAAACACATTCAGATAACATGAAAGTAGCACTTAAAGAACTGAATCAATAAGCCGGTTCATTCATTCACAGCAGTATTTCAGTTGGTATAAAACATTCTACAATGTTTTGATGTCCGTCTGATCTCTCTCTCTCATTCCATACAGATTATCAGTTTTGGATAAAGACATGAAGGGAATGAGTCAAGCAGCTGTTCTCGTTGACAGGAACCAAATGTCTATCTACATATTCAGCATTAACAAGCACAATCTGCCATCAGCGTTCATCAAATGCCCCAAATCCCAATCATGACAACTGGAGGGGGATTTACCACTTTTCGATGGCTATGCACCATTTTTGGATCATTATTTTATTTAGGAGACATTGTATCAGACCTGTTGTTATCTGTGCAGTATTTTAGAAGCGGTCATGCGACCTGGGCCGCACTGACTCTTGTGTTTGTTCTGGTCGGATCTGTTTGCATACAGATATTCAGCTATGCATGGTTCAAAGATGATAAGGAAAATGATGAAGTTGTTGACAAAGGTCTGTCCACTCCCCATCTGATCGGGATACATGTACTGCAGATAGGCATTTTTACAAGGTAACGTCATGCTACTTCATCATGTGACTCAATTCGAACTTAGATACTCGAACCAAATATTAAAGTGATAAATCGTCCAAAAAAGTACATTCTATCATCATTTTCTCACCCTCATGTCGTTCCAAACCTGTATAAATGTCTTACTTTGGTGGAACACAAGAGAATATATTTTGAGGAATGTTTCAGCTGTTTTTGTTCATGCAATGAAAGTCAATGGGGTCCAAAACAACACTGAGAAAAAAAACACTGAATAAATGCCTAATTTAGTTTTTCACAGAAAAAGTAAGTCGCAGTTTTGGAAAGTATAGAATGCACAGAATAAAAAATTGAAAAAGGTCATTTTTTATTTCACAATTCTGACTTTTTACTCGCAATTGCGAGTTTACACGTCACAGTTCGGACTTTATAACACACAGTTGTGAGTTTACATCTCGCAATTCTGGAAAAATAGTCAGAATTGCAGGATATTAACTCACAATTGCAAGAAAAAAGTCATAACTACTCTTTAAATTGTTTTTTATTCTTTGACGGAAACAAGCTTATAAAGATATGAGGGTGAGAAAAATGATGACTGAAGATTCATATGTGGGTGGACTAGTTCTTAAATTAAGAGGAAGGAAATGAACATATAGCATCTCCACACTTCTTTACTTGGTAAAATTGTATTATTTTTTATAACGCTGATGCAAACATTTACAAATCGAGTTAATCTTTTGGCCTATCTGTTACTCTAAGGTATTACCATCTCCTGAAGAAGAGTTTTAAAACCCTGTGTTCAGGCAAGACTCAAGAGGTGGAGCAGTTAGGCCTACACCTTTTCGCCCTCGCTACGGATCTGAGCATGCTCCGCATGTTTGAGACGTTCCTGGAGAGCGTTCCTCAACTCGTTCTGCAGGTCTATATCATACTGGAGCACAACCATCGATCTAATCTGCAATGTAAGTCCTGCACAGATACAATAATTACATGTACTTCCGCAGTCAGTGTTGTGGGTAACAGATTACAAGTAATGCAAGTTATGTAATCAGATTACTTTTTTCAAGTAATAAGTAATGCAAATTTAGTTACTTTTTCAAATAAGTAATGCAAGTTACTTTTCCCCCGTTGATTAAAAAATAAATCCCATTCAATAAGCAAATGACTTTAGATAAACATAACATTTGTTTCATTTTTTTTCTTCTATTTTTCTGCAATCCATAATAACAGCACAGCTGAAAGGTTTATTTGAGCTGCGCCCTCTACTGTACAGGCATGAACTTGCATTTCTTTCAGCGTTAGGCTTTTTTATTTCTCTTTTGGTGTGAAAGGCCCTTTACATTTGTCAAACTTTTTTTTGTTATTAAAAAAAACACAGGGAGCCCAGCCCAGGTGCGAAAAAAAAAGCAAAAGTAACATAACATTAATTTCCAAAAACAGTTACACAATTAGTTTCTTTTTAAGGGAGTAAAGCAATGTTGTAAAGCATTACTTTTAAAAGTACCTTTCCACAACACTGTCCGCAGTCTCTACTGTTAAAGAAATTTATACTTTTATTCAACAAAGAAACATTGATCAAAAGTGACAGTATAGACATTTAAAATTGTACAAATTATTTATATTTTAAATTAATGCTAGACTTATAAAAAAGAAAAGAAATTAAAAGAAAAAAAAGTTACACTTGTGTTTCATCAATGGTGCCAAGAAGAACCTTAGATGTTATAGGTACATTCATGGAACTTTTCCATTCCACAAAAGGTTCTTATTAGTGTAAAATGGCAAATGGAATTGGAAGATTGGAAATGGAAAATAAGATTATTAAAATGCTCTTTACACTAAGAAAAAAAGGATACTTTTAAGAACTGTTCTTTGTGTAACCAAAAATGGTTATTTGATGGGATCACTCTTTATTTTTAAAGGGGTCATAATGCCATTTTTGTACAAGCTAGTATGATTCTTTAGGGTCTAAATTAAAAGTTTGTAATATACTTTAATTAAAAATTCTCATTAGTATTGTAAGAAAACACTTATTTTACTTGGTCAAAAACAGCTCTGTTTTCAGCACGCCGTTTCAGTGCATATGACTTTAAATGATAATGAGCTTTGCTCACCCCGCCTCTCTGTTCTGTGTGTACACCGTTTGTAACACAATAACCATAACGCGTTGTTCAGTATAAACGTGGGATTATGAATTATATTGAGAACATCATACATAGAAAACATGCCGTAATGCTGTACCCTAAGTGTAAACCTTAGACGCATTCATTGTGAAGCGTGCAGCTAGCGATTTGCAAAGATTAATATAAATATTAATATAAAGTTTAATAAAACGTTACACTCACTTCAGTTGTTCTAGAGGTTCAGCAGGAACACGAATAGCTGGTACCGATCCTTTTTCATGAGCAGCTTCTTAGCAAAACCAGCTCATACTGACCCTCGTTTATAAAGCAGTCTGGTGTGAGAAATGATTCGCGCAAACATGAAAGCATTGACGTTGCTTGTGGGGAATATTCCCTTCGAAAACAAACTCAGCCACTGCGTCTTCAGCGGTTCGGATTTAGGAACATTAAAATGACTGCTGTGTTCGTTATTACACCCAAGAACAGAACACCACAATCGCTTAGACGCCATTCTGCTCATAGACAGTGCTCCAGCATATCAACAATGACCGCGCCGATCCGCGCGGACTATGATTGACAGCTCGCTCATGAGCGAGGGCGGGTCTGTGTTGAAACGATGCTGTCAATCAACATTCGTGGGAGGGGCTTCCGAGCGTGTGACGTCACAAAATCGAACGGCTCAATTTGAGGCAGGGGAAAACATATAAGGAGATTAAAACAAAAACACTGGATGGATTTTTATCATTTTATGATGGTTGTGTACAGGCACTGCCAACACACATTTCAGTACAATCAACTTGTAAAAGTGCATGTACCATTATATGACCCCTTGTATGTCTATATATCAGTGTAAAAGACTGATTTGTAATGAAATAAAATCTCCTTTTTTTTAGACATTAGCATGGCTGTGTCTTTCGTCAACATAGCCTGGGCCACGGTGGATTATCGGCGGTGTTTACGGCGCTCTCTACCTCACATTAATGAGATGCCATGTGGAATCCCAACAGCTGTCTACTTGTTCTACAAAATATTTACCATAACCCCTCGAATCCTCAGCCTCACCCTCTTCATCATGCTTTCCCCCTTCAGTACTCTAGCAATGGCCTTGATATGGTTTGTGGGAACCACCTGGGCATTTGTGGAGAAGACCGATTTCTGCATTTCACCAGTCCTTGAACATCTTTATCGAGCCATTGTTGGAGTTATCCTGGTTTTTACCTTCTTTAACATTAAAGGAGTGAATACCAGAGTTCCCATGACTGTGTATTATATTGTCAGTGTGTGTCAAAATCTTGCTGCACCTATTTTGTTGTATCTGCTCAAGCCGGAGTCTGAAGGGACTGACTATTTCAAGCCCATTCTATTTTTTATATTGATAACAAATTCACTCGGACTGGGTTTTCTGGCACTCTATTACAGTCTCCTGCACCCTCGTGGATATGTGGCAGAAGAGATAGACGGAATAGATGGACTGAAACAAGAGACAAAATCAACTCGTTTAGATCGTTTTTTACAAATATAATACTCTTGATCATAAACTAATAAAAAGGTCCATATTTATATTTATGCTGGAATTGGTCAAGTATGAAGGATCTATGTTTAAAAAGCTGCTATGGAATGATATCTGATTTTTCAGGTATAACATTTTTGTTGTAATAATGATGGATATACGTTTCTGCCAATGTTTACATTCTGTTCATTTCATCCTCTCCCAGTAAAGCTGTTCAGTTTTCAATCCTAAAGTGATTGCAAACACAAAGTTATACTACGCACACTGACTTTGAGTTTGTGTTTACTGAAAAGTTTTAGAAAGAAAGAAAGAAAAGAAAGAAAGAAAGAAAGAAAGAAAGAAAGAAAGAAAGAAAGAAAGAAAGAAAGAAAGAAAGAAAGAAAGAAAGAAAGAAAGAAAGAAAGTTGGGGTCATAAGATTTTTTTATGTTTTTAAAAGAAGTTTATGCTCAGTCGGGCAGCATTTAGTTAATCAAAAATACAGAAAACTGTAATATTGTGAAATAATAATACAATTTAAAATAATATATTTCAGAATTTTTATTTTTTACATTTATTCCTGTAATGGTAATTTTCAGCAGCCATTACATTACAGTCTTCAGTGTCACATATGGAAGCTTGTTTCCGCCACTGAATAAAAAAAATAATTGCGACTTTTTATCTCACAATTGCGAGATATGAAGTCAGAATTGTGAGAAATAAAGTCGCAATTGCGAGATATAAAGTCGCAATTCTGAGAAATAAAGTTGCAATTGCGAGATATAAAGTCGCAATTGCGAGATATAAAGTCGCAATTCTGAGAAATAAAGTTGCAATTGCGAGATATAAAGTCGCAATTCTGAGAAATAAAAGTCGCAATTGCGAGATATAATGTCGCAATTATGAGAAATAAAGTCGCAATTGCGAGATATAAAGTCGCAATTATGAGAAATAAAGTCGCAATTGCGAGAAAAAAAGACAGAATTGCGACTTTTTATCTCACAATTCTGACTTTTTTTCTCACAATTGCGAGTTTACATCTCGCAATTCTGACTTTATAACACATAGGCCTAATTGCGAGTTTATATCTCTAAATTCTGACATCTTTTCTCAGAATTGTGAGATATAAACTCGCAATTGCGAGTTATCAGGCCAATTCTAAGGGGGAAAAAAGACTAACTCTTTTCCCCTCAGAATAGTTTATATCTCACAATTCTGACTTTACAACACGCAATTTCGACTTTATATCACACAATTCTGACTTTATAACACACAATTGCAACTTTATATCAATCAATTCTGACTATATCTTGCAATTATGACTTTATAACACGCAATTGCGACTTTATTTCACGCAATTCTGACTTTATAACCTGCAATTGCGACTTTATTATCAATAAATTCTGACTTTATATCTCGCAATTCTGACTTTATAACACGCAATTGCGATTTTATTTCACGCAATTCTAACTTTATATCTCGCAATTCTGAGAAATAAAGTCAGAATTGCGAGATGTAAACTCGCAATTGTGAGAAAAAAAAGTCAGAATTGTGAGATAAAAAGTCCCAATTACCTTTTTTATTTTTCATTCTGTGGCGGAAACAAGCTTCCATAGTCACATGATGATTTGGTGCTCAAAAAAAACATTTCTTATTATATTGGCTAAACATGCTTAAACATGTTAGCATTGTGAAAAACCTGCCAGCTAGCAATGTGCTAATTCATGCTAGCTACGTGATATATCATGCTAGCAATTTATTAAACATGCTAGCAACATTCTTAAACATACTAGTAATGTGTTAAAACATGTTAACAACTTGTTAGCAATTGGCAAGACTAGTAGGCTAACATGTTAATTTATGCCAGTAACTTTCTACAATGCTTGAAACATGCTAATTCATGCTAGCAATGTACTAAAACATCGCACATAGCCATGCAAAATAATGTTAAGCACATCCTAAGACAAACATGCTAACAATATAAAACTTGTTAGCAACATGATAAAACATAGGAAGCATATAAAACTTTCAAACTTCAGACGAGTCTTTGTCAAGCTAACATAAAAGTTTGTCCAAACTCCCGATGAACATTAGGCTACTTATGTATGCATTTATTCAGGATTCTTTGATGAACAGAAAGTTCAAAAGAACAGCATTCATTGAAATCGACATTAAAAATGTCTTTACTGTCACATTTGATAACTTTAATGCATCCGTGGATTCCGTGCTGAATAAAAGTATTAATTCCTTAAAAAGAAAATCTTACTGACCCCAAACTTTGAATGATAGGCTAGTTTATCTTCACAAACCAGAATTTGCACTGGGCCTCTGATGTTTTCTGTTAGTTCAATCACTACCACTAAAATAAGACTGACACAAGATGGCACTGTTGTTCCAAAAAATCCTCTTGGCTAACATAAATACTGCCTCATCCAAACAGGAGATTTTGTTGCCATCATGGAGAATTGTTAAACCTTGAGCTGAAATTTAGACTGTACTGAACATGATCTTCGTCATAATATTTTGTTTTATTGTAAATAATAAATTTTTGTAATAAAGGAATTATATCTTTATTTTACTGAAGTCTATGATGCCAGGTATACAAATAAAAAAATGGACTGTAATTAACACTGTTAATTAAATGATTAGTTTAAAAAAATAGTTTTAAAAATGCATTATTCCTTTATGTGTACATGTATGTCTGTCTGTCTAAAGCAGAAGAATATGTGAACTTTGACCCTCACAAGTCTACAGAGAACGAGAAAGGCTGAGAGATCATGCAGATTGCCTGTTTCAGAGCTAATTGAAAGATAATAAACTAATCCAGTTCTGTTTTGACTACCAGCAAAATATTGTGCAAGCCATTGGAGTGAGGCAGGATTGAGGGAGCAAAGATAAAGAGGATTAAAACAGAGAAGGGTCACAGCATTTCCTCAGTGTGCTGTTGAGTGAACATCTGCGCTGAGAACGTGAGCTCACCGTGACAGAAAGACTGCAGATTTATTCAACGGTAGTAGCCTTTCAAATAAACATGAGCGCTGCTCAGCAGGCTGCAGGCCCTTTTGATTTTCTCATGTATACATACACACATACAGTGGCCTCAATAAGTATTTGGACACTTTTTGGACATTTAAGTCACACACACACACACACACACACACACACACAATAAACCCAACGTGCATCTGCATACAAATGGTGCTTGAGGTTTTCTCTTCACAATGGAACCTTTGGGTTTTTTTTGCATTTACTTTTAGCCAACTAGTCTCGAACTAAATTTGGCAAATCTTCCCTTTGGGGGCAACATCTTCACTTAGAAAACTGATTTGATTCCTAAATAAAGTAAATAATAGGGGGTCGATCCAAAGCCTACATTAATTGCATTTTTACTGTTTTAAAAATTAGTATTCCTCTTCTGCCCTAAATAGACTAAAAAGTCATCTAAAAGTTGCAGAGATCTCAAAATTGGTGGGATGGTTCCACATTCCCACACTACCCAGGCACCCCCACACATGCTTCGGACACTAGGTGGCGCTAGGATAAATACATTTGCGTTTTTGTTCATAAGTGAAACTATAATCAAAAGATTATATAATCAAACTTCTTACAGTTTTTTTTACAATCGCTAGGACACATTTCTCAATACTTAGGTCACTTTTCCCAAAACTAACCAACTTTCAACTTGGCACAGCTGTTAAGAGTACAAACAAACAGTGTATGATTATGATTCAGGCAGCATTACAGGTCAGAAGTCAGATTGGATCAGAACATTATGAACATTTATCCAGTTCCATCTGGTACACTATTGGCCTGTAGGTATATAGAGTTTTGGTGATGTATGTGAGAAATGTTTTCATGCAATTAAAAGTGTGGTCATTGAATGCGCAACGCATTCTCATCCCAAGGCGTCATATACTGACGCTTTTGCCAAAGCGTCTATATCCAACGCACATGGCACCCTTTAGCGTCAATACAACATGCTTCGGTTATGGGTAGGTTTAGGTCTGGGGTAGTGTTAGGGTTAGACCACTAGGAGGCGCCATATATCTGCGTCTCATATTGACGCTAAAGGGTGCCATGTGCGTTGGATATAGACGCTTTGGCAAAAGCGTCAGTATATGACGCCTTGGGATGAGAACGGGCTGGAATGCATGTTGTGCCTAAGCAATGATAAATAAATAATCCACATTTAGCTAAAATAGTCTGCTGTTGTGCTCACAGTGTGAAAAGTGACCTATAAAGTATTGAGAAATGTGTATATTGTAAAAAAAAAAAACTGTAAGCAAGGTAATGGTCAGCACTGTGGCTGAAGTGAATTACACAAACCGAAGGAGTAGCAAAACAGTATTTAATGAACAAAACCCAAGGGAACACACAGGAGATGATCCAGGAAATAAATCACAACCACGTAAAATGAAGACAACACTGAACAAAGAACTGAGAGGATAAGGGCTTAAATACAAGTGAGGCTAATCAACAGAAACTGAAACAGGTGTGTAACTTAATCAGTGCAAGGAAACTAACTAGTGTCAGGAAAATGAGAACAAATTAAGGAAACAGGTACGGGAACTTGAACTAAATCAAAACGGAACATATACACGCGACAGTAACTGCATGGCGCTGTGTATTATCCACCTTTTTCATAACAAGCCTACTGTGTTTTAGGTTAGATTGGGAGGCACTTCCGGTTTAGGGAAGTTGCACTCAAAAAGACTGAAAGAAATCATTTCAAATAATAAGGTTGCACTACAAATAATCCTTAACCGTCAGTTTGACTGAATGAGCAGTGAAATTGTTCTATTTTCAGAGGTCAGGAGAATAACGCTTGGCATATTAAAGCTGCAGTTCGTAGTTTTTCCTCTTTGTCGCCATCTCTGTACGAAATCCGCAATTGCAGTTATTTGAGGAATTATCAACTTTACGTGCGTTGTGCCTCGGCACGGCACAGCGCGGATGAATCCAATGTTTTGAGGAGAATGTGCGGCTGTCAGTCACTGCGCCGGTGTGGATACTGGCATTCGGAATCACAGATTCTACTTTTTGGAAGTATGACCGACATAAGAATTTTCACCGGAGAATGTCATCTGAACAAGTAGGTAACATCCAATTTTGTTCTGACCAACTAAGGGAAAAAAAGCATTGCAGTAAATCGCGC